TTTATGTGTTTGACAAAAAGAAAATTTTTTTTACAAGGTAATATTTCTCATTGCAAATTCTTTCCATCCATGTTACAGACAATTTATTTATAGTAAAAAATTCCGTGAAATTTGTTTTGTAATCCATTTGATGCAAAAAATCATTGTTACGCTATCTGACATCAGTAAACACTTCATGACGTTTAAATCGGTACTTCAAACCTTACAGATCCCACCACCAAAAATCTCGGTTCATCGAGAGAATCAGGAAAAAAAGAGTGAAAAAAAAACTTTGGAAAATGGGCAGCCGACAGCTGATAAATCACGACAGGATTTCAGCCGCCCTTTGACTTCTAAAACCTCCCAGGCACTGGCAAGCACGAAAAAATGAGCATTAACTATCACTCCGCGCCGTAAGCGTACGCGTGCCATTTATCGATGTCAATTACGCAGCTGAGCGAGAAAACGAACGAAAGCTCCAAGCGAGCCAGAATCAGCCACCAGCCGCTGGCTCGTTCAAAATCGTAAAGCTGTCCTTATTTCCCGAGCTCTTCTCGACAAAATTCTGCCCCACGGCTATGCCAGGGAGGAAAAATAAAGAAGAGAGAGAGAGAGCTGGCTTGGCACGAAATTTGAAATTCATGATCGGCGCCGCCGTGAACCTGCCCTATCAAGAGTAAATCGACCTATTCCCTCCACCCCCCTCTTTCGTTCTCGTTCGATCTGGGAATTCGACACGCTGCATTCGAATAGTGGATATTCAAATTTTCGTTCGCCACCACAGGCTAACAGTATATCTTCAGGGACAACAGCTCTTGCTCGTAAGTATTACGTACATCCATACGGCTGGCAAAAAAGAGAAAGATAGTATCCCTCTCTCTCTGTCTTACTTAGCTTGTAACGATTGACGCGTTTGGGCAGGCAGTATCTCGATTCTTTAGATGAAATATGAAAAAATTAAGGTGATGGCCCTATAGCAACGAAATAAATTTAACGTTCGATTGTTCGGAGACTTTTGGGTAAAGGAAATTTGTAGTGATGAATTGCGCGTTTTAGAGGCCGCATACAGATCATGTAGGGGGCGAAAGTTACTTAATATAGAAAGTGATTCCATGTTTCAGAACTTAAAAGACTGCCAAGTATGATTAATTCAATTCTAATGGGTGGTCGAAAAGCCCGATGATTTTAGAGGATTACAGAATTTATAGAGCATCAGGTATGATTGACTTAGACTTTATGTTTAGCAAAGTCTTCTGGTTGAATCATTGAAAATCTTGGAGAGAACTGTTCCGTCAGTTTTTTAATTGATAAATGAGTTAAGGTAGCCAGTGGAGCGTCCGTGAGCTTGAAAATTTAATCAGCGAATATTTGAGGATGAATTATTCGAATAAAGTCGATGCGGGATAAAAATTTCAGACATGGCGTGCTTTCGGCATTTTTTTTGCATTGCCAAAGCACAGGAGGTAGAGTAGAGATGGCGCATGTCACTAAAATCATGACTTTCCCGGTTTAATCCAACTATAGGCCCTAGAAGCCTTTTGTTTGGTCACGTACTTACCTTGAAAGCTCGAAAAGCTCGATGCGCAGCAAATATAATCTAATAACCGGTGAGTGCATAGGCGTCAGAAAAAAAAATTCATTCAAAGCAGCTCTCTCTTCCTCTTGCCATGGATGATATTAAAAAATCAAAGTCACGAGCTGACGTAAAATGCTATGTTTCCGCTCTTCTGGAATTTCACACCGGCGGGCAGCTATATCACGTCTCCATTCATCTATTTTATCACGACTGGCCAATTGATCGATAACCACGCGTCGACGGTAGTACCCTACATACATACGTCCTGTACCCACTGATACTTAAGGTAATGCTTAAAGCAAACTTCCAGCGTCTTTACGAAAGTTGAAAAATATACTCTACCAGATATATAAGTAAAAACAGAAGAAAATCCCTCCAGATTGAATCAAAGTTTCCATAATTAAAAGTTTTTATTCGTAAGCTACGTAGATTGGCTAAGAAAACGCAAGGATTAAAGCTTCAGATCACGAAGAATTATTAATGGTTCACTGTAACCACTTGTGATATACCTTCTTTCATGTTTTAAGATGGGGTAATGTAGCTCAATATTTTATTTAAATAGGTGACATTGTTATTAAGCGCTAGTCTGTTGGCCCTTGCTGTCCCTATGAGAATCTGTTTTGTGCCCATTTATCATAATATAATAGTGCGTTATTGTAATGACCATAAAAACAAAGCAATGTATGAAAAGGCTGGATTTTGAGAAGTAAACACAGTAACTTTTTTCGGTTAAATTCCCGTGATGGTTTCCACAAATTTTCAGTTTATAAACTATGGCACTGGAGATTTGATAATTACGTGACTGTTACTGTGGACTTACAAGCCATTGAAAGTGCTACGATTTAATTTTCTACCAATTAAAAATCGAACCTTTGATGATTTTTAACGTCTTGTTTAATATTTTATTTATTTATTTTTAGTTTATAAACAGATTAAACCCTGTTAGAGCAACTGTTTGCCAGTTCACAAAAGAACCATTGTTTTATGTAGCAAAAACCGTTACTTTTAAGCCAACTTGAAAATCTTATTATCATAAGGGATGATCCCCAGTAAACTGCTCAATTCGTACGAAGCACAAAATGGAAAAACTTTATTTCTCAGCAACAGGAAAAATTTCATAATCTAACAAAACACATCCGAATTCCATGAATAACATGTCAGATCACGGCAGGGGTTTCAATTCCCCTTTTTTCCATACTGGTGTTTTTTGAATGGGGGTGAGAGGGTGGGTCGAAGCATCGCTTACACGGAATGAATAGATTCATGAGCCCCAAATGAATGAAACGCAGACTGGCTTACGGACTGTACTCACTTTACCGTATTTTTGCCATCCCTCTTTTTTCCATTCCGAGCGAGCCCAACGCCCATATACTCTCGCACCTCCTCAGGACGAGTGAAAAAAGACCAGTGCATTGCCTGCCTTTCATTGGCCAACGTGATTGATGAGCTACCTGTTCCGATATAGTTACGTATCTTGCCAACTGGTGTGATTTTTTAGCACGCCGATAGGAGAGTGAAGAATGACTGGCGGTAGAAAAAGGTGATAAACAGATGCCGAATTGATTCATATCGACTTCATCGGGTGAGGTTTGAACGAATCATTACTTTCGTTACTTTTAATTTAGAACGTGTTGTTTTGAAAAAAATTTATTTCCGTTTTGTATTTGTCTTTTCAATGCGGTATTTGTGTCTGACCAAGATTTCGTTTGAGTCTAAGACAGCTGGCAAACCATGAGTTACTTCGAACACCTGATTCATAAATTAGTTTTTCCATCCAAAACAAAATGATTAATTGATATTTCATCTATAGGCTCGTGTGTTTTGTCATTTGTTAAAAAATGAGTAAACGAGGAAACATGGGAGTCCCCATTTCAATTTTTATACAATGAATTGCAATTGCCGCTGCACTATTTTGTTTTAGGCGATGTAACGAGAAAGTTAAGCAGACAATATGCACTCGTGGTGACAATAACTATTTTTGAAAAAAAGTTTACGTCCAATAAAGTGTTACACGATATTGCGAGTCAAAACAATTATTATTCATCGCAGCTAATTTGAAACGTGTGAATTATACGCCTCTAGTGTAATCCGCATCAGGAACTAAATTGATCGTCACACCCTAAAATGAAACATGTCTCTAAAACCCAGCTATGATATGATACATGTATACCTTCAAACACATACCCGTTATTACGAATTTTGAGGGTTGTTTCGGCGACAGTGATGTATAATTACATTGGGTGACCAAGCACTTTGCTCCATTTTCCGACCTAGGCTGGTGTTACCCGATTTTCAGGCTCTAACGAGGTCGAGCGAACGCAGTGACGACATTTATACGTACTGGCACACAGATAACCGCTCACTACTTGCCAGACGTCAATCGATAATGAGCCTGACGCTGTACATTTTATTTACTCCCTGCTGTCTTTTTCTCTCGTTTATCGTCCAACCCACCCAAAATGTCATTGACCAAGTTTGTCCAAGGAAAATTATTTTCGGTACGTGATAGTGACTGAACCAAGAGTGCCGTTTGCCCCACTGCCTGTGAGTTGGTTTGGAAGGTATTGGTTAAGGTGGTAGCGAAACAAAGCAATTTCTTGACCACACTAACTGTATGTACAATAATACGGTGAGGAATTCTTTAAAGAATTATTATTTCGAATTCTAGAATGGCTTGACGAATATGAATACAAGAAAATGATCAATGAAAAATGACTCTACACACGCACTGCTATGGCAACGGAGCATTTCTTTACCGAAAGTTGTTGCCTAATTATTTATTTACTGAACATCAAAAAAAGTAATGAAATAAAATCTATGCAATTCTAAACATACTTCTATATCGAAATTTCTATGTACATGGACTTAATCGAGAGATATTGATACAAACGCAGACATGCATTTTCATCTTTCATATGTTGAAAGTATAGATGAGCACCAGCTGTTGGTATTCTAAAGTTAAATGCAAATTGTATAAACTTTTATATTGGATATCGTGACCTAAAATTTTGAATAAGTACTTAATTCGATCCAATGAACTATATTTACAAATAATTGTTTGAAATTCAAGCAGTTTTAATAAATACCAACTTGATAGTCGCAACCACCTTATTGTATACGCCGAAACATCTGAAAATTTGGCATCGTTATTTTCGAGGTTAATTGGCTAGTCTGATTTTACAGCTACATCCTGTAAATAACTTCTTTGATAAATCACACGTAATCTCATGAATAATGACACTGATAAAAGCTTAAATCCGTAAGTAAAATGTGCATACTTTGAGTATTGCGAACATACTTAATTGTTAAATTGAGCATAAAAACTGATGTTTCCTCTTTGGTCGAGTATAAAAAATTTCCGCCACTGGTAAAATAACATTAAATTTCATCTTTGAAAAAAGTTTCAAAAAATCATTATTTTGTTTGAATCATCGTAAAGTACAACATGGACTTCATCAAAAAAATCTTATTACTCTATAGCTGTCTATCAATTGCCAACGTATTTAACAACAGCATTGGTACGTTGATGATTTTCTCTTCATTCTTTGAACACTATTGCATCTACTAACTTGGAGAAATGAAATACATTTGATTACTTTGGCTGTTCTGGAGTTTTCCCATGTTAATTACAGGGAAACATTCTCCACTTTGATCTGACAGGGGCCATTTTTGTGATACATGTCCCCTCTGTTTTTGCATGAGTGGAACAATAAATAAATGTCTGATTAAAAATTTGTAATAGATTAGTATTTCTTTATTTTAGACTAATTGCCTAAATTTCTAGACTAAAAATCAACAGGTTCTCTACATTGACACAGAATATATTAAAGTTAATTTATTATTGAGATTTTTCAATAACTACCAAAATAAAAATATCCATGACTTTAAAACAGTTTGTGTGAATTCAATGTTTTTAATAGATTATAATTTTTTAGTACAAGCTTTGAAAGCCGAACAAATTGTCGGAGGCAGGATAGTGCCTCCTCAGAAATACACGTTCAACGCTTTCGTCAAAGTTAGTCCACATGGGATCTGCAGTGGAGTGATTATTGGAAAGAAAACTGTCATCACCGCATCACATTGTTTATATGACAGTTCTGGTAAACTTAGATCTCGGCAAGTGACTGTTATAGCTGGGACGACGGATGTTACAGATACGTCTGAAAATAGAGTTGATATTGATGTGGCTAAAATTTACATACTCAAGGACTTTATTCACGAAATAAAATACTTGTACCAATCAAAGGATACGGAGTTTAAAGATATTGCTGTACTAAAGGTAATGACTTTTTAATTAGAAAAATCAAACGTGCACATCATGATCGAAATCGTTGTAATGTTGATCAAAAACTATATTGGTAGTATGTATAATTAATCAGAACAACAATTTCATCTTCTGTGTTACAATTTTTTGTGTGGATAACATTTGATAGCTAAATTAAAAAAAGATCTCAAGATGACGTCCAGTTTACTGGTTTTCAGAATTATACACTATTTTCGTACGTGATCTTTCAATATTAAAAAATCTATTTCTTATCTCAATATTACATTTTAACTCTTATAAAAATAAATAAATATGTCCACGACCTTAAAAAATGCATAATTAGGAAGTTGACTAATAAGACCATGACAGTTTTTAAATGCATACGTGATTTTATATTACGTGCTCATAAATACAATATTTCAGCTTACAAAATCACTGGACATTAAAAATAATCCGTACATAAGTAAAATTGAGTTGCCTGCAAATGATGTTAACTACGACGGAAAACGTGTCGTTGCATTCGGTTTTGGAGTGAAAGGTATGGATTTTCATAATTCGGAGCCCATGCCATTATTTGATGGAAAGTTACGGTACATCAGAGCCATGGTTTCCAAAGGATCACACTGTTTAAAGTTTTTTCTAAAGTTGACTATTAAAAATTCTGAGCAGTTCATGTGTGCGGAAATGGAACAAGAGTCACATATCATTAAAGGAAGTACTTGCAAGGTAAATTTTATCTCACTTTTTTTTCAAATCTTCAATCTTATGTTATAAACTCCAGTCAATTTACAAATAACTACTGGGTACGAGATGTAAAAAAATCTATAATAGCAATATTTTCATTTGAAATACTTTTAAAAATATATTTAAAAAATAAATTTTGGTTACAATTATTCAATAAGCATTTTCACCTAGCAATTACACACTATTTTAAAATTTAAATGTATTTTTATGAACCCAACACTCATTAACATAAACAATTTTCAGGGCGACAGTGGTGGACCTTTGGTATACAACGAAAATACCCTTATTGGAATAATTTCACTAGGACCCCCGTTCTGCAACGTAGCACAAACGATGTTTATAAAAATTTCTAGCTTCAGGACGTTCATTAACAAAGCTAAGCTTGATAAGCCTGACAAAACTATGCACTGTGAATCTTTATCGAATGAATCTCTTTGTTCAATCATGTAAAAATCATAGGTATTTGAATCGATATTTTTTTGATGAACATGAGTTTAGTGGTACAAATGAGAGAATACGCTAATAATGGTATTACTTTATTTATTACGTCGTCACTCCATCTTTTATTATAAAAGGTATGGATTCGCACCATTACTAATAATGACTTGAGACTGATTAACTTACTTTTTGTATATAAACCGAAAAACATTTAAAGCTAATTAAAAATAAAAAAGTTAGAAGAAGACAAAACCAGAGCACAATTGTAAGCATAAATAGTTTAAACTAAAATAAAGTTATTGAAAAACAATTATGTTCATTATCTGCTTTTATTTTTCGTTTTCTGACATAACTATGTATTTAGCTAGTCGAAATACTTTGATTGAAAGTTTGTACACTTTTACGAAGTTCACCTTTGCCCCACCATCGTCTCAATATTATTCAAATGTAGATCAGAACAAACAAAAAAAGTACATCAAGACACGAGTGCCAGAAACGCTTTCCAAGTAATAACACCCGTTGACATAATTACTTAACTTTTATGCAGGTTGTCACGCCAAAAGAAGCTCGCAGTTGGCAAACGATCGTTTGTTTTTTCAAGCTGCCAGCCTTCAATCTAATTTAAATTGAAGAAGACGACTTATTGGCAGTGAACACAAAAAAATCGCAGAGAGAAAAAAAAGGAGATGAAAAAAGTGGCAGTCTGTTTACAGCGACGTCAGTTACGCAGGGTATTACTCCCAACCCGCCCATTTCTTCTTTGCGATCATTCCTTTCGACTGATCAAACATAATAGTTTTGAACTTCATCAGTAGGCAGCTTCTTTCTTCTCCAGTACTTAAAATTTCGCTTTTTTTCTAGATCAGGACTGCTGTGCCCTACCCTAGCTCTTCTTTACTCCCATCTTATACCAATTTGCTGTACTGTACGTTATGTATTAACATCATCGGTAGGTAATATATAGTATTAAAACGGGCAGAAAATTGAATTTTCTACACAACGTGATGGGCATTATATCGCATAGAATGAGGTTTTCAATATTTTGTCTGTAAAGTGCATACTAATGTGTTTCTTTACATCCGGTTGAAAGTGTGTTTATGAATTATTTTGAACTACTTAATTACGCTTCAGCTGACGGGTGTGGGTGTAGCCATATTTTTAATTTTCGTCCTCATCTAAAACAACAATTTTAATTTGTTTATAAAATTCGTTAGTATCAAAAACTGGCCACTCTGCGACCCATTGTCTAAAATCATGTTCAGCAGGCAAACATAAATGAAAAAAACTTGGGTAGATGTATCTGAGTTAAAAAGGTCATGGGGCCCAACCTGACCCCCTGAGTAACGACAAAACCTTTTGTTTTTCCACCCCATGGTCTCTGACTTTTCCAGGCAGCCCTATCCGGTCCCATGTAGCCCCCACGACGATATCACATGAGAAAAGCAGCTCATCAACAAACAATAAATATTAAAACAATTTAATTTTAACGTTAACTCCTGATGCGACGATCCAAACCATAACGCGAGGTATAAAGGGTCAAAAGCTTGATGTACGTTCCCTTAACAACGATGTATTCTGGCTTCCCCTCGCTATGGAGCATCAAAGCGTAAATAACACGGTTATTATATAATCTAGGCTTTAGGATGGTTAGACGCTGTGGTGCCAAAAGATGAAATATCAAGTGACATTATAAGCATAACTATTCTCTCTCTGTGTGAATTTAAGACATAACTATTTTTAATAGTTCTACGATCATTTAGTTATAAATTGGGTAGGTTATTTAATTTGACAGACTGTAACTTATCACATGAAAAAAATTTCTGTCAAAAAATATACTCACGATTTTTTGAATTTTTTTTCAATAGCGCTAAGCATGTTTGCATTACCAGATCTCAATACAAATTTAAACTGGACCAACTATAAGCCATTGCGATTCCCCGGAAGTTTCGTCGAACAACTCAATTAACGCGCAAACAAGCTTTCTCGCTTCGCAGTTTTAAAACTCGATTATTAAAACTCGATTCGCTGGCTGATTTATCACTGTACGTAACTCACGCGCATCTGCCATCTCAAAGTTGATTTTTTTTGTGAATACATGGTAATCAGTCAAGCTCCAGGTGCACACACAGAATTTAGCTCTCTCCCTCTCCAGCAGCCGTTCCCGACCGGAGTCGGCTTAGTATATTCCAATCGGAGCGTCACTTTGTGATGTATGATTTGAAATGTACGTGGACTACGTAAAGGTGTCCAGCGTCAATGGATCCCTGAACAAATGGCCGGTACCTACCGAGGCAATATAACAACCAGTGATTCAGGGTCAAAGGGCGCGTGCTCCCCAGAAATTCAATTTGGGTGTCTCTCTCAATGTCGTAAATACGTGACTCGATGTGTGTCCAACCGCCCGTCCTTCCATGCAACCCTTTGGCTTAAACCGAGGGAAACGTGCTGCCATTCCGTATACGTCTTTGCTCGCCCTTCCTTACACTTTCGATCAAGGCGGCTTTTTGCACGTCCACTCCCCCAACCGACCGACTGTCTGTCTGGCGTTGACGTCTTTCTTGTGTCTCCTCGCTTGGTGTGTTGTCTTCTTTCTTTTGTACGTTCAGAGATACAATCCCCCCTTTTTTTTTTAATTTCCTACGACGTACTTTTTTGTTTCACTAGTAACGGTGGACGGTCCTTGGAATCGATGGGAAGTGAAGCTAAAAATAAACTTTGCTGTACCCTCTGTAGGTTTAAGTTTATTTTTACTTCCACGTAGCTCCTTACATGGATCTTCTATGTTTTTTCATGAGCCAGTTTAGCATCGTTAAAAATTAATTTTAAGTAGAAGCAGCACAGGACATTTTTTTTTAAATGAACGACTGTGTTTTTCCAAACTTCACAAAGATTTCAAAAAAAATTATGATAGAGTCGTGAGAAAGTTCTAAAAACATTGGGAAATTTCCTCTGCTTTTAGTGGCTAATTACAACTTCTGAATTTTTTACGATACCTTGCATGAAAATTATGGACCAACATGATATTATCTCATCCTAAGATGTGAAACTAAACTGTTTTTTAGTAGTTTTATTACTTTGCAAACAAAATTAAAATAACATATTTTCATTGTTGAAAAATAGCTCCGTCCGTACATTAGGTACTTGAATTGTTTTTTCATCCAAAGAAGCAAACCTTTTTGATGTTTTTGAGCTTTTTTATAATTTTATACAAAATTTTTTAAAGCAGCTTTTTTATGTTACGTACCAATTATTCAATCCAATAACTAAATAAATAAACGGCTAAAGGTGCAAGAAATGAAGAAATCATACGAAATCACGAAAATATGTAATCTTTATATTTCTCATTACCACAAGTAGTTAAACAAAAATAAAAAAACTCCAGAAAGATCTTCCTCCAAGTAAAAAAAATGGGCAAGATCTATCAGAGTTGAAGTTCTTCAGTAGTGGTGTCCATGATGCTCGTATCCGTGTCCCCCGTAAGTGCCACCCGAGTGGTCGTTACCATTGCTGTTGTGCACATGAGCAAAGAAGCCTCCGTGGGGATCTGCATGATACTTGACTGTTCTCAAGTTACCGCCCGGCTCCTTGATCGTGTACTCGCCGGTCACATGCTTGCCTGGACAAAAAGGACGACGGAATGGCGTTAGCAACTATTTTCAGTACTCACATGAAATGGATACGAAAAAAAAAGACCTAGATTGGAGAGAGAATCACGTTTTAAAGATAATGACGAAAAATCCCAAAGTATAGACAGGGAGGTATCATAGCCGTAGCAGTTTGCGGCCACTCCTCGTCATAACAAGGTTACTCTACGAAGCGAGAGATATGACCGGTAGCTGCTAGCGAAATCCCATTAATATTATAATTATTTTGTCACTCTAATTTGCGAGGATTAATATGCATTCGATGAGAAAGGTATCTTCAATAATCTACGTGAATACTGACGCCAAAGTGAATTGAAAAAAAAAAAAAAATAATGAAAAAAAAACAATATTATATAAAGTACGATCAAGCCAACCGAATCCGATAATAGCCCGCGTTGCAGCGAAGCGCCTTCGATGATGGTCTTTGCGCGGGTGTGGGCAGGAAATTGTGATTCGACTCGATGTCTAATCAAGCGTCACCATTATTATAATTGCATATTCATGAGGCAATCGATCGGGGGAGGGGCACCGTTCGCATGGCTAGTTGGTTATTCAAGTCCGCGCCGGCACTCGGGGTATGGGCGCTTCATTATTGTCGTTTATTTCGTCAGGGGCGTGGACTCGTTATTTTTGGGCTGTTGAAAAGCATCGTGCGCTTCAACTGAGAAATAAATTGAGTGTCACTTTGCACCGTTGATTGGCTTGATTTCTAATTAAAATTTTCAAACTGCCCTTGTTTATCCAATTATATTTTTGACTGCACAGTAGCAGCAGTGTGCAATTTTCATTTCGAATGCTTGAGTGATGGTTGTATCGATCACTGTATCGTTTCATTTTATTTTTTTATTTTTTTTTTTTATTTATATTTATTTTTTTTTTGAAATTGAGACTGGAATATAAAAATTACTTTAAAAAACCCTCCGACCCCCCAATAACCTGAGCCATTTTTTGCTTCTAGGGTAGATTTAAGCGAAAAAGTGGCTCATCACACCTGTACTACTTATTCACGTGATATCAGACCATCACATTTAAAATCATCGAGTGATATGGTTGCCACAATTTAAGTAACCTGTATCTTTTCATAAACACCTAACTGATGAAAAAAAAATTGATAAAATATTACACAAAATTGCCTGGCAAACCTAAATTTTCTTGGCATCATTTAATAGCTCATGATTTCTATTTTCAGTGATATAATTTGGAAGATACCATGTATCAAATGTTATCGAGATTGAATGGCCTCATGTAAGAGGCCACGTTAAATTATCCAACAATGAATATCTTGGAGGTACAAATTTACCATCGCGGTGTTCTTTTTGCCCGTGAAAATCGCCAGTGTGGTGATCTTCGACGCCATAGGCGAACTCGTACTTGGGATGAGCAACGTAGTCGACGGTATGATGATGTCCGTGCTTATCGTGGATGGTCACCTCGTGGCCGGGACCTTCGACCGGGCCGTGAAAGTGGGCAAAGCTATGCGCGTGACCTGCCAACGACATGTCGATCAGCCCTGCCATCACTGCCAATATCGTCGATCCAATAAACTGCAATGACAAATCAACGTTTGGATTCGTTACTTTTGGTTTAGCTTAAACAATTTGTAAAACAGAAATCTACTTCAGTAATAAAATGTATGTGCTCAACATGAATGTACTAGTTGTTTGCTTAATCCAAAAATGCATATGATGTCATTTTGTAAGAAATCAATGTAATAACAAATCTTATGCATATTATGCATTGGCAAAGATTTACTTCCGTTGTTCAAGTGATTTTAATCCCCAAAAGCTATTGTTAAACTGAGGGAAAACCATCTTTTTACGTCCACTTGTTACCGTCTTTCATTTTATCAAACATAGAAATAAATACATTTTTTTTTGCGTTGGCATAAGGTCAATTTTTCTCAGAGGCATTAAAAAACTTTAAATGGCAATAATAAAACTTCTCCATGAATTCGCACAAATCTATTTTTCAGTTAGAAGAAAAATGGTCAAGCTTTTCAAAACTGTGTACGGAAAGTTATAGATGCTTTTTTCGAGGCTTTTTCACGAAGTTCATCCATCCGCAGTTTAAAAGTATCCTATATTTAGTACGGTTTGATTGATTCGTAAATCTCTTGACGGACGTATTGTTCTTTCCCTGTTCGTTGCACTTCGTTCTGACAAATAGCCTAATGGGAAAATTTTCCACTTTTTTTCTAAAATACTACGTAATATGTTGTTTTTTTTCAGTTCAATTGTTTCAATTAAGATGCCCATATTCCAAGACATACTACAGTAGGATAATGAGAATAGTTTGTTTCTAATGCCAACTTGCAAGTCTCGGTTGCGATAATTGAGCTTTTAATGAAAATCACTTTAAAAATTGATATCATCTGATATTATTATTATTATTATTATTATTATTATTATTATTATTATTATTATTATTATCAACAAATTCAGTTAGACGCGTTTAACGGAATGTATTCCATCTTTAAAGATAGTGGTATAAAGTTACCATTTAAATTTCTTCGTCAAACGAAGTACAAGAAAACAAATTAAATAGTGCCCAAAGTCCATCCACAACATTTAATGCAAAATTTACATGCACACAGGATACTGTACATTGAACTTGCTTCTAATACATAATTTAAATAATCAATAATCGTATTACATAGTTAAACAGATAAGAACGTACACGTTATTTTCATAAATACCATTCACACTTGATAGCGATTAACTATTTTGTCAGTATAAAGATCTTTTTTCCTTATTCACATTGTTGATGATGAAATAAAAATTCTATACGTGGTACAGAGATTTACATAAAAATAAAGAGGGCTAACTTTTTTTGTATGCACGACGTAAATAATTATTGTATGATCTTATGATTCTTGGTTTTTTGAAACGCTCTTTGATTTCGAAAATAAGATAAGAGTAAGCTTCCAAGTTTTATCGAAAGGCGTAATTTTTAGTAAATACTCTGGCATTGACACTATTCCTACGTATTTACATCCAAAATATCGTAACAGATAAAAAAAAAAAAAAAAACAAACAAACTTTGTTTACCATGATTTCCTCCAAATGTCCGCGTATATGTCACTATACAGATGAAAATCCACAAACTGAGTACGACAATCTCGCTCAAATCGGCGGCTTATATACTCACTCGTTGAGACAATTTGTACCAAAAAATAGTACGGGTAGCGAAACAGTTCGCAAAAAAAATTGTCGGAGTATGACCAATCGCTCATTTTCCACGCCACCCGCTCGCACGACACGTTGCCGATAGTAGCCGCGATTATGACAAAAGCGCCTCTCCCTCTCACTTTCGGTGAATATACAACCAAGCGCTTTAATCAGCACAAATGCCGCAAATCCTATTGTCCCAAGTGCACAGCGATAGCTCGCGATATACGCGACAATGGACGTGCGTACATTTGCGTGCATGGGTACGCAAACTCGTAAACAACGAAGGAGTAACGTTTGCAAAATGTAGCAGTGGCTACCAAAGGCTGCCTCATAATGTTTGTCCGGAGGCTTAGATTGATTGGTAGGATTCCAGAGAACGCAATTTTACAAACTAACCGAATCTCGAATCCCGTGGTGTCATCACCGTGGGGGTAGTACGAATTCACGCGCGAGGCCTCATTAGTTGATCCCTCGTGCCATTCGGGTGGAAGTTTAATTAACGCCGAGGAGCGATTTCAGCTGGACACGGTATTTGTTGTTGGTTGAGCTCACGGTTCGGTGTTGACGATTTTTACGTTGATTATGGCTGTTTTGCAACTAATAAGGATATTTTTAATTTTGACCATTTTTAGTAGAGAATGATTTTTTTTTCTTCTTTGGCTTTTAAGTTAAAATAGTAAGAATGGAATTTTCCCTCATTTGGAATACACGATTTTTAATACGTCTAGTTGGAGTTTCTTTAAAAATGTGTGCACTTATACGTACGTCCATATGTTGTAACATGGCTGAATGATACGTGTGAAATGATAATGGCACAAGTCAAACATTTAACATTTAAATGAAAATTCATGCAGTAATTTTGTAGTAAACTATGATTGCTTCTTTTCTTCTTGAGAAACAGCAGGAAAAGAACGACCTAGCGTTATATTGTAGATCATTACCATATTTTTCGATTTCACAAGCGTTTGAGCCAATATTCTGACATACTTGTAATATTTCGTCAGGGTAGTTTTGTTACCACGTTAAATAGAACTAAAGATTAATTAAACTTTATAACAACAGTTTCCTTTTTGTAGAAATGAATTAATATTAAAACTGTCAAAGTTTTGCCATATAAATGCTTACATCATCACAACTATCTAGTTAGATCCTTAAAATATTACCCGCAGGTAACTATGTGACCATAAATGCACTTGTTGCGGTCGAATTGCGTCCTGTACACGGTATCAGGTAGTGGTCATTACGGTCGAGTAGCGTTTCGTTACTAAGAAATTTATGGTGAAATTATGCCCTCGTCAATGTATTACTAAAAAACAATACTATCCTAGATTACTGACCACAGAATTTTCACCAACAGTGTATGTATAAATGCGTTTAATTTCTAATAATTTTAATCCAATGTTTTATTTTATGCACCTTACATTTTAAACATTACGGATAACTAATCTTCCTTGTTTCATAAATACTTTCCGCATACGTAAGCTATGGCCAACATAAATCACCACTCTTTCACTGAATCTTATAGAATAAGAAGGAACGTCAATGCTCTCGACGAAATCCTTTTCAAGTCTAATGAAAGATAACAATTTTTCTCTCTTATAATGTACTTATGCATAAGGTACCTAAGCACTGTATAAATACGTTGTTTTATTGTTGGGTGATACTAACATTTACCATAGTGAATACATTTAAATATGGTTGGGATTTGTTCACTTGCAAAGTCCGTGAAATTCATAAAATGTCTACGAAAGATTCAACTTCTTCAGAGAACTTCATGTCTACATTCTAATGCAGCTCTTCTCAGCGCGAAATACAACAAACTCTTCAAACAACGGCGGAAAAGTTTGCAGAAACTCAGAGAGGGATCCATCATACTTTGCCTGGCTCAAATGTTTCGTTTCCAACTAATTACGACGCGCATCACACAGTCACATGCGCGTTCGGGCAACCGTATACGCGTGACTCTCGCATCTTCGGAATCGCCGTGTGTTGGCAGTCTTCCCCTCCAAGCCAAGAGAAACGATGGAGAGGCGAACAAGGGGTGGCTAATTAAGGCGGAACTAATATCACATCCCCTAGCACGGCAAGGGTCGGTAAATACTTGGAGCGCGTAAGTACCATCAAAGGAGCACACGGTTTCCCGCCTGCGATGCCTACGGCCCAAGACTCCCTTCTTCTTCCTTTCTGGTATGTGAGTTTATATATACTCATTGCCTCGTAGGTACATACGTAAACGTATTTTCTCTCTGACTCTCGTCTCGTGGAATTAGCGAATCAAATTAGATGCCATATCCCGAGCGCTCGACCTCAAAAAGTGTGTGTATACACGTGTACTCCGCAGGCTCGAGTGTGTTTACGATGGAGTACGGGTATACATTGAAACCCGTGAATATTGGACCAACTGTGGGTAACAGTTTTCCTTTTGATCTGACTCGACGGTGATATTTCATCTCCAAGTTCAATTTAGCATTTCGACGCTCGTTACTCATCGCCTTGTATTAATCATCCGAAGATTTGGTATGTGTCTCGGGGCTGCTGGCGTCAGCTTGGTCTCACCGATCGACTCTCGAGCCAGTTCAACTGTAGTCGAGGTGCACACGTGATGATTTTTGATATTCTGATGGTTGATTAATATGCCACGAAAAATATGGAATTGAACAAAAGTGGATTCATATAGATGTAGTTTTTGATTCGTGTCGAGGAAGATCAGGATCTCACACTTTGTCCACATTTTGATTCGTTGAGCTTTGAGCTTTAGAGAAGTACCTAATGAGTTCAAACTTATGGTTTTTACCATAAGACGAACAAAAAGCCACGTCCTTAAAATATTTCAAAGTAATCTTTCATGACCTACTTTGGAATATTTAGAATAGAAGAATAACTTATCGTAATCAATGAGCTTTTATTTGCAGTGTAAGTCCTTTTTTCCTACTATTTTATTCCACGAGCAATGGAAAAGTAACTATAAATTACAGGAGAAAAAAAGTCACAACTGACAGCCATTGTGTTCGAGTGCAAGAGAATGAGGTCAAGATTATTCTTCCATCGTTTTCCCTCTATCACCCTTGGACTTTATGGAATATGTGTAGGATGTCACGCCGATACCGAATCACTGGCTCTTCCTCGAGTCATGAATTCAGAAAATACTCGCACATGATGATAAAATTCGGGAGAAAACAATCAACTTCGCATCGACCGAAACAAGCGAAACAAAAAATGAAATCTTTCCATGCGAAAGGGGCAATATACATTTCGCCGAAGGACGAAAATCGATCGGTTCCTCTAATTCCGCGAGTTTTCCGTGCCACTGATCACAGCTCGGATTCTTTTTTTCCTCTGCTTCCAGCGGTGCACGTGAAAAAAAAAAAAAAAACGCTCCGCTGCAACGGCCGAGTATTTATTTTCAGAGGATGGTATAACGACCACTGTCGGCGGAAACAATTAGCGAAAGGGACGAAAACCCGAGTAAATTCAGCCAACCGATCGCCGACAAACGAATTACCACGAGCACTCGCGCAGAAGCAAAAGCTCATTGAACCAAAAGTGTGGGGAGAGTATTTTTCCCTCCCAGCCTTGATGAGCTCCCAAGAAGCTGCAAACGCAAGTAGCAACGTGGAGGAAGATGAGTTCATTAGCAAGCCATCTCGTCATCCCGAAACGCGAGAGACGGAAGTACGAGTGCGAGCGAAGTGATTTTAATTTTATTGTCGTCTCAAACAGCTACAACTTTGTATTAAATCCCCTAGGGGGGGGGGGCTCCGGAGTTTGTTCCGTTCACCCGGGTTGACCTCGCAGGTGCGAGAGCTGCTAGAATTCCGTCACCCAACGTGTTGAAGCCTCCGTCGACTGCGTGCATTGAATTTTGAAGACTGTCGGCATCAAACGTGGACCTCCGGGAGCCCCCTTTTTCATTGAAAATCTCGAATAAAGTGCTCTTTTTGATGGTTAAATGAAATTGGACCTCATTTTCCTCTGGTTTGAGTCGAGGAGAAGCCTGACTAGTCATAAAGTCGCTCATTGGGAAATTTAATATTAAGAGCATCGAGTGCACGAAACGAAGCGCTCCTTGGGCAAATTCTTGTAAATATCTGAATGGAGCCTTGTTAACTTAAAGAGCACCATCGAGCAGTTTCTTTTCACATCGATACTCAATCAGGCTCGCTTCGACACAAGGAATATTAAATTTTGTCTTCGCTTCGTGCTTCCTCTTCGAGAGCAAAGTTCTACGATTTTGAAAAAACTTACGTGCAATCGTACGGCTTTTGTGCGATCGCGAGATGGAGTATTTGATTTGTACGTACATGTTTGTGAACAAAAATAATAATACCCCTGTTTCTGTATTCTTTATTCTTTGATCCAAGCCATCCTTAAAATTATTGCAACCGAGCCCATGCATACTTATTAATTTACGTAATGATTTTAGTTTATTTTGAGGATTTTTATCATACGACGTTTTGAATAGGAACGTTGGAGTTCTGATACAGAGTGAAATAAAGTCTCAACTTGATGTACGATATTAGTTTCATAGCCCATCCTTCGGCATTGGACTCCTAATCTTATTAACTACAAAGTACATGTCACATGGGACCGCGTTAAATAAGCGAATTCGTGACAGTTTCTAAGATGCACTCCATCGATGTATCAACAATTTTTCATTGCACGTTAAGTACTTGTTCTTTTATATACAAATGGTTTTTTTTTTTTTTTCAACTGCATCCAAATTTAACTGTTTGCATTATTTCACGCGCTCATTGCACTATAGTAATGGATCCTGAGTTCACAGCCATCAAGTGGAGGCTCTCAAAGTAACCGTACTCATACGAGTTTGTAACGTTTTAAACAAAACAAAGCCGATACTGTTGTAAAACACCTTTATTGTCCACCTATCCTTTTCTACATGAAATATTTATTCCCATAGTCGAAAGTAATACTTATTCAAAATGTAAAGCACATGCACAGTTCTCATCGGCCGTACCCAGAGTGATCGTTTCCACCGTCATTGTGGACCTCGGCGAAAAATCCTCCGTGGGGATCCGCGTAGTACTTGACGTGCCTTATGTTGCCGCCGGGCTCGTGTATGTGGTACTCGCCGTGAACTTTGTCACCTAAGATACGCAATAAGAAACGAGAAAGGGAAAAAATTAACAAGGTGACAATTACCAGTTATTTTGTCAATAAGTTAGCTGCGATGTAGGATATTGTTGTACTTTGAGCTGTGTTATTTAATTTGGTAACGATAAGCCGCAGAGTCGTGTTTTTGGGCACACTCATCAAAGATACACAAAGTTGTTAATAGGGATTGCGTGAGACCCATGGTCCCTTGAAGAAGTTACGAAAGTACAAAGGAACGCACTTTTAATTTTTTTTCATCGAACCTGTTGACAAGGTTCAAAGTATCGTCCAGCTTTTCTAAACGAGAAAACTATTTTCTTAGCCCTTCTTTCAGGACGTGAATGCATGAGCTCTTTATTTTACACAACAGCATATTTCAGGATTGCACGTAGGTAAAAAAATTTTTTACCATCTCGATGTTCCGAGTGTCCGTGGAAGTCGTGAGTGTGATGGTCCTTTACGCCGTAGGAAAACTTATACTTGGGATGAGCCCTGTAGTCGTGGTACTTGTGACCATGTTTGTCCTTCCAGGTGATTTTTGCGTGATGTCCGTGAACCGGACCATGAAAGTGCTGGAACGAGTGGGCCTTGTGCTTCGTGTCATGGTGACTCCGCTCCTCTGCTGTAACATGTTTTGCACTTAACATTTAACGAACAAACTGACTCGAGAAAGAAAACTGGCTAAAGCTTCTTTAACGTACTCGTCGAACTCAGTGATACGGAGAAACACCAAAATTTATCGTTACTTCTGCGTAAAATGTGCAGACTTCTATTAAAAAGATCCTCTGACGTGACTTGTAAAATGACTTTTGCGCGATGGCTACTTTAACGAAAATCCCTTATTAAATATTGGCTCGACTGTCGGCCAAAGCGGTAATCAGACCTCCATCGATGCAAGGATATTCCATTGCAAACGAGGTTCAAGCAAACTCCAGTCTGGAGGGAAGGAAAAAGAAAAAATGAGAAATAAATCGAACCTTGGTCGTGCTCGTCGGCGCATGCAGAAACGACAACCAGGCAAAGGATGAATACCTGGAGGGAGCAGAAAAATATAGTAGAGCTAGTCAGTTATTGCGTTTTTGCAAATAAAATAGCTTTGAAAGGACAGGGAAAAAAATAGCGAGACGCAAATGAAACTCGGAACGGAGCTCTCGTAGGGCTTTGATATCGCTAATTGTTTCGTTCATTATTACGGCAAAGGGCGCGTATACGGAGAGAACAAGGAGCAAGCACGAGAGCTAGGGTATTAAATATAAACGGCGAGTACACGGGTCGATACTTGAAAAAAAAAAAAAAAAAAAAAAAGACAAAAAACATAGAGAAAGAGAGTATCCATACGCGACGTGTATTTCATTCGAGCGTTTGTAGCTACACGCGCAGCGCACCTCGTAACTAATTCACGTACGGACACTTTTATTGCCCTCGTAAAGGATAACTCCCTCCTGCCCCCGAAACACCGGCCGTATGTGTCCCCGACGCGTAGCTACAGCTAGACCGAGGACTTTTTAGTATTTTTTATCGGCCCGCGCGTTAATTTTTCTCTATTTGCAGATTCGAGTTATAGCTGCCCGGCTGCGAGGGTAGAATTTCACGAGTGGAAACCCGCGGACGACAAGGAAGAGACCGAGGACTCTTTTTTCACTTTAATGAGAAAAAAATCCGCCAATCAGCAAATTTACCTTGTACATGGCGAATCTTTCCACCGCGGGATGCGGGAGGGCAACTGGAAAACTCCGATTGCCGCCGAGTCTTATATTTCCGCGGTGCTCCCGTTGTCCGGGGGAGACAATAAAAGCGTACCCCTCGTAATAATATTCGCGGGATTGATTTCTTCACCGCTGGCTTTTAATAATGACGTTTGCCCATCGTGGGTATATCGTTTTACGACGCTGCTCGGCAAATATATACATTGGGCTCGTTTGGTGTAGGACAATTATTGTGATAGGAATAACGTTTGTATGAAAAAAAAATAAATAAAAATGTTACCTGTAAGTACATCTCGATTCCCGGATTTGGTTTTATACGACAAATTTACTTTTCACCCTTTTCATATGATATCAAGTGCGCGCGTTGAAACGCAAATCAAAAGCATTTTTATGATTCAACGATGCTTTCGAAAAAACATTTTTTTTTTTTCAAATACAGGGTCGAGAACGCAGTTAAAAGCAACTACATAGAAGAGCTCTCAGAGTTGGATTTCAGTTTATTTGGGCATGTAATTTCCATACGCGCCACAGAGGCCGGTCGATGGTTTTTATGAAATATTATTTTTCAGGCCAAGCGCGGCAAATGGTCCGTGGCTGGTTCAAGTTACGCGATCGCACTGCGATAATTACTAAAAACAATAGCGGCAGCGGCAGCTTTGCCATAGGCACGATCGGGTGTTGCACGGCAGTCTCGGGTACGGGACAACTTTTTACGAGCACTATTTGTATAATATTCGAAATGTATCGGGGAGAAAGTCGGGCGTGTCCGTGCACTCGAGCGAATTTATCTATTGTTTATTTTTGCTCTCCCTCGTGTAGTCCCCGGTATCGTACGATGTTTTTCCACCGATACGCCGTTGTAGCGTTTATTAATTTTTCATGGGCTGATCGTGTGTACGTTATCTTGGCCAATAGTATTTCCTCGGAATGTAAAAGATATCACAGCTTTTTGCACCGCTTAAGGCGTATTTACGGAGGAAAATTACATATTTGGTTAAAATTGTCTCTTACGCAATTCGGGGATATGATAATTCATTGTCAATGTATTGAAAAAGTGATCACTGAGGCAGTTACGCTGAGACCAAAGCAAATGTCATTTATTTCAACCAAAGATGATTATTAAATACAGGAATCCAGGATAGTTTTCAATACATGAAAGAAGACACAGTAGATCAAGAACGAATGTATAAATACTACGATCATAGAAAGGAACAAGTGCTTAAAGTTGTATATAAAAATCTGATGTATAGGACTACACCTTAGACAAAAAATTGCGGTTTTTAGGGTTTGGCCTAAAGGGACCTTGCCTGCCTCCTTGCTGGCCGGTTAAAAAACCTCACGCGGGTAAGCGGCAATAAATGTATTTCTTGGTCGATTGTTGACGATGGCGGCGCGTCACGAGCTCGGGACCTGTTGGAAAAAAGACATGGTTACAAACGGCAAACTTGAACCAAATTATTATTGTCATAAATACGTATTATGTGTGTTGCGAGGAGTGAATGGATGCGTAAAAAAAAAAATGAAAACCCAGTAATACAGACCTCGTCCTCGTAGCCGTACTCTTTAAGCTGCACTCGCTGTGCCTCAGAGATGATCTGCTCGCTTTTCTTGGGGCGCCGGAAGTTGAAGGGTTTGGCGATGTCACGTGGTCCCTTGACCAAGTCGCAAGCCAGGACTGCATTTTGTAAAATGTTCTTGGCTGCACCTTTGTCCACGTACAAACAAACATCAGTGCTTACGCGAGATTAACAATGCATCAAAAAAAAAGAAGGAGAAGAAGAACAAAGCGTGCACTGCATATACGTACGCAGCACAGCCTGTATGGCCCGTGCATTCCGCATATCAGCATTTCAATGCAAATGTATTACAAATTACCAAATCTCGTGATGGGCGCACCCCTGAGCAGCTTAAATTTTGCATTGATAAGTATACCGAAACAGATCACGAGTGTAATAGACAAAGTCGTGACCTGGAATTCGTTGCAAAATAATCTTATGCAAAATAATCTCTTTAAAACAATTTTTCATGTTACCAGGTCTAAAAGTTTGTTCAAAATTGTTTAAACACATTTTTTCAACCAATTATTAAATGTTGAAAAAAAATACGTAAATATTACTAAATCTGTACTAAATCCTTGGTGACAGTCTCTCAGTAATCAACTTACCTCTTGGGAAGTACAATATGGTTGTACTCATTGAATCACAAGATATTATTTATATTGCAGCGTATTGAGATGAAGTAACCTACGAAAAAGTATATCGTCTTTAAAACTTCTTTATAGATATTTTTGTCTGTCCAACTAAAAACTTTTTGTATACTTCATAGCTGCTCCATATCTAGATAATTGTAAATAATATTATTTGATGTTCTAACTTATAAGTAGTTGAACAAAAAAAAAGAACAAAACTTTGCATGGTAGCGTAAAGGTAAATAAAGAGACGATAATTCAACATTACTTACTATATTAGTTTTTATACAATTTACACACCATAGGACAATATATTTAAAGTATTAGGTACAAAAAAGACTTAATCTTACATACATAATTACATATGTTACAAAGAGTTTTGTTAGGATCGCAAAGTCCGTCGTTTGTGCGACATATCAAGAATCAGAAAAGAAGAGGATCCATTTCCTTCTTTCTCCATTCATCATCTATCGACAGAAGATTAGCTTTGATTTTTTGCTCATGTCATAACACTGATAAGGACAGGTGGAGGTTAACGCCGGGATGAGGGACTGCTTGACCGATTCGGCTGACAATGGCGCCACCCAAGTCCCCTCCGTTGAATCTATCGTCGATTCTTTACTGCACCTGGAATAATTAAAAAATTATGTTTTACTGAACTAAAAAAATCAGCTCTTGCAAAAAACACAAACAATCATCAACCAACGGTTCAAACGAAAGCTTTAATCATTTGAAACTCAAAACGTCAAACAGCGAATGACAGAGGAACTAAAACAAAAATTATGGGTGTAAAGGGTATCCTTACGCCTGAAGAGTAGGAGGTGCGTAGAGAGTCAAGGGATTGACGATCGGTGGCTTGAGCAGGACGACATCGACGCCGGACGAGGCAAGCTCGGCTCTGAGTGCCTCGGCTGCACCCTCGACTGCTTTGCGGGAGGCACTGAACGCCACAAGGCCCGATCCAGCTTTGGTCGCGTAATCCGAGTCACCCAACAATATTATACGACCTGCAAATCGTAAACGGAGCGTTTGTCCGGACGCATGATTCTTTTACTCCGATTGTAAGGATACAACATTCTTTTTCGATAAACCACAACTTATATATTTGAGATGGTGATAACTTTGTGTGGATCAATAGGGAGCTTTTACCTCTCTTGGCGCGCAAAAGCGGAATGAAGACACGAGCCGTGCGCAGGGGTGCAACCAAGTTGTGGCGGAGCATTGATTCCCAGGCGGAGCTCGATTGCCTCTCGATGATTCCTGGCAGGGCCAAACCACCCGTGTGCATCACTGCCCACAATCCTGCAAAGTAGGACGTCAACTAGGTAAGTATAAGCGAGGAAAAACAAACGGGGAAATTTGGGAAAGAGATCGCTCTTGCGGGGAGGATCAAGAGGGTCGTAAGGATAATCGCTGTACCCATAAAGTTAATTCCTAGGTATTTTCAATGCACATTTTTTTAAATCAATTTCCAGGGAAATGAATTATCTAAATGATATAATTCGATAAACTGTTGGGGGTAATATACTCCAACTTATGTGATACTATCTGGAAATTTAGGTTCTTTGTGCCCCTTATTAAGGGTTCAAGGTGCTTGACTCAAAGAACAAGCGTTTAATTAAATTAATTCTCACTTAAATTAAACTTGTCACTAAACCCGTGGAACAAGTAAAAATTCCAGTTGAAGGGCAAACAATTGATTGTTCATTGTTAAACCTGTTGCATTTATTGAATCGATCGATCATATATATATATAGTCTTCACCAATAATTCGCAAGAAACCAAGTTTGTATTAAATGCAACACGCAAAATGATTCCTCGAAATTTTAGTTTAGCTTTTCCCAAAGCTCCATAGTTGGGCGATACGCGTTATCTGGTCCATCGTCTTCCCGCCCAACGACCGATTTGATTAACTCCAAACTCCACCATAAGAGCCTCACGTGCGCGATAGGCCTCCCTCTTGCTCCTCTCCGTCCTTGTTTGACAACTCACACACCGCAGGACGCGGCGCGGAGAATCCAATAGCAACTTACTAGGCTCGCTCCGTACACCCCAAAATGTCCCGGGTCCCTCTCTCGCCTCCCCCTCGGAGAATCGCGACCATAGTTCACGCGAGTTGGGCTCCGCGGCCCGTAGCCGGGGGCGGTCGGGGCGAGCGAAACCATCCAGAAAGTGATTCGAACTAAGGTTATTAGTTCAGCCGGTAAGCTCCCTCCCCTTCCTTTCTCGCTCGGTCCGTACAGAGCCGGTGGAAGCGGGGCAGAGAGGATAGGGGGAGGACGTGGAGCGAGCGCGGCTGGCGATTTTCGCCCCGGCTCTTAACGATTTACAGCGCCGTGGTGAGCCGGAATGCTTTGATGAAGCCAATAGGTGGAGGTTCTGCACATGCACGACCCCGGCAATTGTAACGATTGAGCTTTTGTGGGCGCGCTGTGCCGTTACCCCCTATTACCGTTGGCGAGCCGGTGTACATGTGTTGGCACGGAGGTGGAGGGTACGGAGAGGGTAAGCCGCCGCCGGGTTGCTAGATACATAGGGGGGGGGACGTTACTACGTTAATCAGTTTCGAGTTTTGCGATAAAAGTGCATCGGACTCGAGTCGAGTATACCTGCCCAAATTTCCGCTGTTGGTGGCACGTGCATCGGGAATGTCCTACGTCTTAAAAGCTTAACTCACGCATGAAAATTCTGGCATCTCATACCCATTTCTGCGTGTAATATCACAATGTTACGATGAATAATATGAATCCCACTTAGTATATTTCAAAAGAAGCCCTTTTTCCGTCATTTTTTTTGCTAAATTTATGGAGGACATCGTATATGGAATGTATATTATATGGAAATTAGTCCTACCAACAGCACGGGCTCTATTTTACTGTGATGAAATTGATTTACACAATATATTCGTGTTGGTTTGAAAAATCAATAAAAAAAATTTATTGACCCGGTTCAAACAGTAGTAAAAAATTATCGGTATATAGAGTAATACCATCTTCTCCAGCAGGAAGTTTGGCTCTGATAGCGTCAAGGCCGGCGTGCAGACTGTCCTCGCGTGTCGAATCCAGCTCCAGAAGGACGATCTGGCCAGTCGCTCGTGACTCCAGAGGTGGTGAGTCCTCGACGCTTTCAAGGTCCTTGGCTCTCTTGCGCTGTTGCTCCACGGCTCGCAAAATTTTCACGGCGTGCGAGTTGCCGTTGGGCTCCAGTAGTCCAGCAAATACCTGTGCACACAAAAATAACCATCAAGAAATACTCTTCCGTTCAACAATGGGCGTCTCGGTACAATTTATTGGGTAAGGGTGCGAGAATAAAGCTAAATCAGCAACTCCCTTCATCAGAATAACGTGTAACCTTCTTTAAATGGACATCGGGATACTCGGTAAGCTAAATCTTAAGAAGCTCCCCCAATAGATACTCATTTTTTCAATGATTCAGGCAATATATGTAAGTTATCTAAAATAGGGAATAAATCGGATATTGTGAGCATAGAAAAATTGTGGTGAAAGTGTATACTAAATATCTTTATGAACCACCAGCTCGAAAAAATGAGCAAGAACAATAGACTCGGTGTGCCGGAAACGCGTTCCGTAGGAGCAGATACACAAAAATCAACTGCTTCTTAAAATTATTTTCCGACCCCCGATACAAGAGCTATATATTGTATTACTGTAGCGGCCCGACTCATTAAAACGTATAACTAGAAAAACAAACGGAGCACCGCATCGATACTCCAATACCTGACCTATAGAGGCACGTTCCCGATATCATTTGAAAAGAACGAAAAAAACCCTCCATCAAAGCCCATGATTACTTAGCACTCGAGGATGGAAAAAAAAAAAAAAAAAAAAAAGAGAGATCGCGCATCCGTCCGATTGAAAGCAGCTCGAGAGTTATTACTTATTCAAAGGCGCGCCCCTCTCGCGCTAAATACTTCTGCGCCACGTTGAAAGAGCGTGACGCGCATTAGGAATTATTACAGAGAGGCTCTTTATTTTCGACGCGCCCCGTATCCCCCTTTCCCAGCACGCAATCTCGGTCACTGCTGCAAACAGTATATTCCCGTGCCCCCTCTCTCTCCCCTTCGATTAATCAAGCCGCGAATAAAGAGTGGGACGTGCCCAAGGACGAGCAAGTTGTCGTCGGCGTTGTTTGTCACCAAACATCAGAAGAGCTTGCAAAGTTTTACAGCTCCCGTGAGCACTGGCGCTGTTGTTATCCGCCGCGAAAATTATCACCGTGGCGGGATCGTCGCACTTTGCCCCGTCATAAAACTTTAATGCTATGCCGAGGCCAAGAGAAAGAAGAACAGCAGCAGCTTACGGACGTCTAGTCCGTCCAGGGCGCGTTATGTATACGTTCCCACGGAAAAGCTCGGGGGCGCCAGTACGTACACTGCCTAAAGCTCCTCCCCCACCCCCCCCCCGCCAGTTGCCCCTTTTTCTCGTTTTCCCTCGGTCGCAACAGCCGGTTGTCGGCTTGCGCCTTTTGTCCTCCCTACATTAGTAATCAGTGCTATATATACAGTGCGTTTTATCTCGGACAGTTGGTGTGCACAAAGGGAGTATACTACGCGACGAGCTGGTTGCTGCTTGTGCTCCGTTTTGAGCGCAACGAGCACCGGCTTTGAATTATTACTAATTAAAGTTTAGTTGGTGGCGCGCGGCCTTACGGTTGATATTTCCCTGGTCTGTGATCGTTATATTTCAGCAGTGCGGGCGCGACCGGGCTTTTATTAGCGAGTAAAATGAGGAGAGCTGGTCGGGGGATACGTTGGCCGTTGGGGACAACAGCTCGACGAGTGTACGTTTGCGCGTTAATTTATCCAAAAGGGGCTTTATTCGCGATGGGTCTTTTTTTCCGGGTTTATGTTGATCGCGGTTTTTACGGGGAGGGATCGTTATCGGGGGGTGCAATCTACGGTTACCCGTGGAAGTTGATGTGTTCGTACTTGCAGGATTATTACAGCGAGGTATGATGATATTTCCGATAAACTTTACCACGGAATGTAATTTATCAAGATAAACGATAATGTACAGTTGGGGAACCAGCCCTTGCTGTCCAACATAGATCTACGATTGAAATTGCAAATACTATTGAAACTCTTCTAGCCTACTCTGATATGAAAGAATTCGTATATATTTCAGACTGTCCATACCTGGACCAAAATTTTAGTGGTATATTTTTTGGGAAACATTTTCAAGCCACTCGATTGAAAAAAATTAGTACCTGCAAATTTTTCGACCTAAATATTATTGGAAGGTCGTTTGCATTTTTCTCCATGTTGTTACCAATAAATTTATTTGAGGATGATAATTTTCATTTTTAATGCGATTAACCGATTAAAAAAATATAATTAATTTTTATTGCCTGTAAGAGATTGATGTCCAAAATTGTATTTCTGAATGCAATACAGTACAATTGGCTCCGTATGAATGTTTGCTGAGCAATCAACACAGAGTTTATACATTACTCTTTGATGAAACATGATGAAAAACCATTTCCGGCGAATTTCGATGAAAATAATGTAAAAATGTTTGATCCTTTGACGATCCCCTGCCCTTTCTTTGTTTCGATCAAAAGTACCGACCAGCCAGAAAAATAAAAAAAAACTCTAATTGGGAGCAAAAGGTTCATCTGAAAAAGAGCTGTTATCCATTTTCACGTTAACGAACAACCCTAAGCAGTCTTTTGACGGGTATATTTTTCTCTTGTACGCATTTTTTTTCACCAGCTTGCCTAAAAATTATTCTGTAACTAAAAACTACTTTGAGAGAAAAATGTTCGTTTCCAAAGGAGTCAACCTTGTGGAAATGAATAACCGAAAATTCATCAAAATGTTCCGAGAAACCAAAGACCTTAATTTCTCAAAAATGGTATTTTCCCTGCAGTCCTTGAGCAAAATATGATTTAAAAGCTACCACGATCGATGCGAGTGTTGATTGAATGAGCTGTGCTCCACTCGCGTTTTGTATACTTCCTTGTAAATAGTGATCTCCGCTATTGCCCGACACACCCCCTGGCGCGTAAGCAATTTTTCTCCCCTCCAGTGGTCATACGCACCTTGTACCCGGCCTCGGACAAAGCGAGGGCGAGCTGGAGGCCAATGCAGGTGTCGCAGCTGGTGACGAGGACGTGGCGCTTGCCGTACATCTCGGCGTCGACGCTCGCACTGCGCGTCTGGCGCATCAGGTAGGCCAACAGGGCCGCCACTATCGAGCACAGGGCGAGGATCTGCAGGGCCAGCACGGCCCCTGTCTCTATGTCCATTTTACTCACTGTTCCGCTGCGTGGATGGCTCCTGATGCGCTACCCTCGCCTTGTTCCAACCAACTGTTTGGAAAAAAAAAAAAAAAGGAAATATGACAAGTGTGTGGGTAATAACAATAACTTTATTTTGCTTATATTTTTAAAAGAAACGTTTGTTGAATGCAACATCGTTTTGTAGCTGTCATGAAAATCATCATTTATTCATCGCCTTTTAACACAATGTTGGGCTAAGTAAGCAGATTAGACACGACAACTGAGGTATTTCGGGAAACTTGCTTACAATAAATCAATATTACAATTTTTATTGTTGGGAAAACGAACTTTTTGGCCAAAAATCCCAAGAAGTCTCTGTCATCAGCAATTACTATAGTTTTTTTGAACCACAGGATCAATACTCATTGCCGTCGAGTATACCTAGATACGAAACAACCGTGAAAAATCCATGTCCTGCTATGATTCTCAAATTACAACAGGGGGGAGATAAGGAAAAAAACGCAGTGAAGGATGCTGCTAGTCCGTAATTCATCAAATTCTCTTTTAAGGGTAGCTCCCGGAAGTTTGGAAATTTACAAGGCTGAGGAAAAAAAAAGGTTAGGGTATATACACTACATCGCAAGCTCATTATCACTTTCCAAGCGCACTTATCGACTTTTTTTTTTTTTTTTGTCTGCGAGAGAAAGTTTTTTCTCCTCCACCAAGAAATCTTATTTAAAGATTTGGTGTCTCTAGAAAAATTAATAAACTGATCGAACTTTATCCGACTTTACCTTTGAGTAATGGTTTAATCGAGTAGTAAAAATAAGTGGTTGTTACAGATGGTTGATCTTCTGGAACGAAGCATAGAATCGTTATGCCTCTTTAATTCTTTTCGAGTCAAGAAAATATGACCTGTTTTACATTTAAATTTTTTAAATTTATAATTCAAAAAAATGTCCACATCCCACGTTGTAAAAAAAGGTAAATGGTGTTATGAGAATATTTTTGTAAAATACAAAATTTCAATGTCGATACTGATTGTATAATGCAATCGATCGGGTGACTCAGAAATTATAAAAGCATTTACACTACTGAGCCAATAAACATTAAACATTCAACAAAACCAGTGCCTTTTCCAAATTTATAGAGTACTGCTACAATCACCCGTTCGGAATAAACTGCTCACCCAAGATGTTTCATCGTCATCAACAGTCAAAGTAACAAATTAGAGAAATGTATCCCTGGTTACACAACTACACCCGTAATCTTGTCAATCGCGAAGGTTCCCGGCACACGCGTTACCCGCACTTGCAATAAATTTGTACGTGGTAAGGATAGCCCATCCGGTCCACCTTGAAGAAAAATCCATCTGACATAATAAGTGCCGGCCACGCAGAAACGCTGTGAATCTCGCGTCCTTCGCTCCTCCCTCAAAACGATACGTCATAGGCCATATATTTTTCCAAAGAGCCTCTCCCACCAGACGCACGTTCCCGCGCACTCACGAGCCAACCAAGTTTCCACCACAGTCGCGTGAGCTCTAATCTCCCAGACTCGGTTACATATTACATACAACCGATTCAGGTGAACACGCTACGAATTGTACAAGTGCACACACGTGAATCACTCTTCCATACGACTCGCTTTCGATTACCATAAATGCCAACACCGAGGAGGGTTTAAAAAGCGGGGACTGATTGACAAGGCGTTGCGCAACCCAACCGTGAAACTTTATTTGCACGGAATAAACAACTCGATCGCACGCTGAGATAATAAGTTGATGTAGAAAAAAAGTGTCGTGTACTCTCGGCAATCGTGGATACGTTGGTAGACGAGATTGACTCACGTTTTTTCTGCTCAAACTTATATAAAGTGGAAAGCCTCTGGATCGTATGGCATATTAAATATGGTAGTTTGGTGCTGATGTGATGCTTGAACATTTTTTAATTTTTGCGGATTTTATAAGCTCTGGATGGGGTACGATACATTTTTTACCCAAAATCATCGCTTTAAAATTTGGAGTATACATCATTAAATGTAACGTACAAGTGATATATTCAAAAATTCGAATGGGCGTAGAGAGTATCTGGTGAATAAATTTTTTTTTCAATTTTAATTTGACGAAATTACGAGTGACACTCTTTTGGCTTCAACGCAGCGTCTAAACATCCTACCCGTACTTATGAGCCCATCTACGTCCACGAACTGGATTCCCGTTAATTGAAAATACGCATTCTCGAAAGTCATAAAATTCTAATTTCTACTTTTTAATGATCTTAAAATACATCACAAATCCTGCGGCTCGCCAAAAATGCGTTTACACTCAATCGTAATTAGGAGAAAAAAAAAAACAAAAAAAAAACAAAGTACGGCCGCGCACTTTTTTCGCCCTGTTGTCGATTTTTCTCTAAACTTTCTTGCTCGCCAACAGGCCAGTCACGCAGGCTCCCGCTGACGTGGCGTACTTATGCTACTTGTACGTATTTGAGCTAAATTTTGCCGATACTCTTACGCAAACCGTGCGTCTAAATGGCACACTCGGTGTACGTGACTCTCCGTGACTAATGGTTAGGCCACATATTTTTTTAGTTGGCCACATTTTCCCCAAGCGTACTCTCACTGAAAAATGTAATGTTGGTACACCTATAAAATGAAAATCTATTGTTTCAAGTGATACACCTGAATTTTCATTCGAAACTCTTGCCCAATTTCAAATTTATATCAATGCTTATCATCAACGCCATCGCGAAACGGTGCATTCAGAAAATCAGTAACATCCATACAGCACGTATTTATATTCATACATTGTTTGTATAAATATTGTGTATCTCATTGAGCCCGAGTCCGATTGTACGCCGCTGTGGAGCGCAAAAAAAGAGTTTATTTTATTTTCCAAAAATACTCGCAAAAATTAATGCAAGCAGGAAATGACATTCATGCACATTCTGCTTCATTATTTTATTTCCACATTGTTCGGTAAAGTGAGAGAGAAGGTAAGATACTATACGGTATTTTAAGCTTTTTTTAAAAATTAATTAACGATACGGGTTGTATAAAACTCTTCACGGTATTTATCAAAATCAATTTTATTCGATTAATTACCAGTTATTGATGCTGCGAAAAATAAATATTTTGCAACCCTGCCATTTCGCACTCCAATTCCCGGTAACGTTATTAAAAAAATTTATGTTATCCTGCCGGGCAACAAAAGAACTTTCAAAAGCCGGTGTTTCGCCTCTCCATGCTAGTAAGTAGACGTGTGTTTACGAGGCTACGGGTCACTATATATGATAGCCACAGCCCAGTGAAAAAAGATACTACCTATGTATGTACATGGGCGCTACTTATAAAGCTTAAAAAAGTACTCTAGGCAGCAGCAGCTGAACTTTTGTGCAGCCAATATTTTGTACACGTACGTACATATATATATATATATATATATATATATATATTCTTATGGCACGCGGGGAAAAAAAAAGGGAAAAGCAGAAAATCCCCGAATTTCCGATGTCTTGGGCCAGAGAGCGGAGAAGAAAGCAGCAGCATCAGCAGCACCGGTGGTAAGCCGGCTGTACCAACCCACTTGAGACTGTACGTGTACCTCTGATACGAGGCAAAAGTATATTTTACGTATATATGTGTCATTCGAGTGGCGAAAATTTTCTTTCCCTCCCCGGTCCATCTCACGAAGAAAGAGGCCACGCTGCCAAAGACAGCCAAATGCTACAAATCCCGGTAATGGCCCACTTCACCGCACGGCCTTTCTCCCTCTGTCTGTTTACCTGCCGGACTGTTAGACTATAGCGACAAAGGAACACCGAGATGGTCGTTCGCCAGATATTTCTCCCTTCTTTGATGCTGGATTTTGAAGAAAAATAATATAATTCGATAAAAGTGCATATGTTCCTCATTTGTGGTGTCTAGAAGAGATCCCAGAGTGTGGGTATGTATACGCACGAGTATGGGATTACACGAGCTTAACTGTGGTCTGGATAAATTTAATAAGGAGTCACTAATACATAGTGCCTTTCCAGAAATAAGTTTTTCAAATTTATTTAGTTAATTAGGTTTAGTTTTTAAGTTAATGCTGCCATGTCCAACTCCAGCCTCCTCCATTTCTGTTCATCTTTCTAATGTTTATTAATTTTTTTCTGTATTCCTTCACTCAAAAGCAATTGCATCTGGTGTAAAAATATTTATCAACCGTAAGACAATGAAAGAGATTTTTTTAAATAAAGCACAATTGTTACCGAACCTCAACAGCCATTGTTTACCCCATTGGAGGGTGAACGGGTACAAGGAATGTTAATGAGCGACAGAGCCCAAGCTGTACAACGTCACACTGATTATATCTTAAGGTATACTCTCTAAGCTCGGGACTTACGTAAACGATTCACGGTGCACTTGTATACTCCACAATGATGGCGTATACGCACGCTCATAAAAGTCCATGATACATTTGTTTTCCGTGATTTCACTGCTTGGGCATGACTCGATGATGGTGTGTATTTAAGAGAGTTTTTTCTCAGACATATGTACACGTATACGCCATACACATTTGTACGACTGAGGCTTTCGCAGTGATGTAGTAAACGAAGTAACGAGTCGAAGGGAAACGAGCGAAAATAAGGCCACGGTGTTACTCATTTTTTTTTTTTTTTTTTTTTTTTCACAACTTTCCGGAACACAGGTGTAACAGCCGAAATTATGGTTTCCTCTGACTCATACAAACTCGAGATCATACATATATACACTTGTGATAAAAACAGCGGCTATCTGTTAGCCACTGCTGCAGTTTTTATTTTTTTCCGTGATCCAGAAAATTTCCCTCATCACGGGCACGCGCGCTTTTAATGCCCGATAAGCACGAACGCCGGATTAAATGTCGTTTTACGTTACCGTTGCGCCATAAAGTCCACCTTTTTTACGCGGGCGCGCGACTCCCGGGGTATCTAATTAATCTCTCGTCATCTCGTTATCGCGCTCGGGGCAACCTGTAAACACACGCGGAATGTGCTGATCCACTTTTCTGGATGAAAGAAAAAAAAAAAAAAAAAAAAAAACAGGAGCATCGATCGTCCGAAATG